AGTTGCCTTTTGGAAAACTGACGATCAGGCTGACAGATTCGTTCTTTTTGCGCCATGAGCAACAAAGGCATTTCGGGTTTCATTATGGTACCCCACAGCCCCATTTCAAGATCAAAGCCTTTCTTGTGTACCTTGTGACTTGACCCCCGGGCTTGGGAATCTCAAGCTGCCATGTCTCCGTGTGCGATGCGCACGGCTGCCCTTGGGCACACCGGAGGGCTTTTGGAACTACTGGCCCTACCGGTTGGGCTAGTTGGGTCAGAACGAAAGGGATCCTAAGAATTAGTTGTGATGTGAATCGAACAGTTTCTGCTGGTTTCCCTTAGAAACTTAGAGAGCAGAGACACCAGCAGCACTTTTGCCACATACCTTTAGCTGTCCCAGTTGCTTCTGCTTCCTTTTGTGTTGCAGGCACATCCGACCCGCCGTAATGCATTGAAAGGGGGTGGGCGCGACACCAACATGAAATGCTGGTGGGCGGAATGGTGCAAGAAACCCCACATTCCTGAAGCTGAGACATCAAGCTTCCCAATCCTGTTGTGCAGAGTGTGTCACATTGCATCATACATACCGCAGCCACGGAGGGCCCTTGAGCGCATGGAGAACATGTGCAAGGCCAATGCCCGGCTATACCTGAAGCAGATCCTGATCCCGGAATCTGAGGCGTAGATGCTCTGTGGCTTCTGCGCCGTGGACACCTGGGAGACGCGAACCCGGAGATTGCTCAGGATCGTCCCAGGTCGTTGAAGCCCAACGCCACGTTCTCGCAAGCTGTGATGTCGCCTCCTTGTGGATGTCCTCCGCCTCCATACGGGCCTTCCCCGGAGCTCATCAACGTTAGTGGTCCCAAAGCACATCCCGCACCAAACCGCTGCCTCAACCAGATGTTTTCAAAGCATTCTGGAGGATCTTCAGAACGGATTTCATGGCTCGCCGATGGTCAGGAACTCATCTGAGGTCAAATCAGGAATCCGACACTCATCCTTCCAGAGCCCGCAAAGCGCTTCATGCAGTCGAAGTACTGGGTGACATCCTGCTCCTGGTGACCTACGGTACGGAACGGTGTGCCGACTCGGGAAATTTCCCGGACGAGTGCTATACGAGGCTGATGGCCGACGAGGAGATCAAGATGGTCATCCCCGACCCGGAGGCTGGACCACGTACCCACGTCGGGTGATGGCGGGAACCTTTCACCAGCGGAGATAGACACCCATGCCTCATACGCAGGAGGGCTGTTCGCCAAGAAGTCGCAGACACGAAACCTCAGTGCCTTGTGGAGCTCTTAGGGGGGGTTCGCCTGACGTCCGACATTGCTGAGCATGCTACATGCAAAGAGCAGAAGGCGTTGGAGAAGAAGATTCCGTGGTCCATGATACCTCTAGATCAGCGACCTTGCTCCCTAAAAGCGCCTCGTGTCAAAATTGGGGACATGAAAGAATACGAAGCAGCCCGCGCCCTTGGACGTGAAGATTCGCAGTACAAGAACAGCATCCTAGCTACGCGAGTCAGTGTGCCACCGAAACAAGGACTCAGCCTACCCCTAGCTCCCCATGAGTCGTAAAGGAAGGTGAACAAAGGAAGGTGGTTTGCGGCGGGGGGTCAAGACCCAGCTCTTGTAAGACGCGCCGACGATGACGAGAATGGCAGCATTCATGGATCTGCTGCTTATATGGTCCGTGGCATGTTTGAGTTACCACTTTTTGTCGGACGGGCTTGATGAGGACCGTCTTCATGTACTGCCAGCCAGGCCTGCGGTTGGCGCTAGCAATGGGAACTCTGGAAAGTAGACCACTCGAAAAGGAACAGTTGTGAAGTTGTCGCAGCAGAACTTCATCAAAACAGCCGATGCGGCAGTGGCCCCCAAGTGGCGAACCATGACCCGGAACGAGGTCTTCCGAACTTATGTGTTTTTTTTGGGGGGGTGGCGGCTGTTTGCAGGAGTCCTCAAGACAAGTTTGGGGAACAGATTGTAGGTGAACAGATCGTAAGGCCACCCAGAAACAGAAAAAAAGAGAGAGAGAGAGAAAAAAGACGGCAGAAACCGACAGACACCGACAGAAACCGACAGAAACCGACAAAAACCGACAGAAACCGACAGAGTTTGGGGAAAAAACAAATCAATTTCAGCCAGCTACGGCGCCCAATTATGTACTACCAGTAATACCTTTGAAAACTCAACATTAACAGCCAAAAGTCAGTAACCAACAAACAACAACAAGCAACAAACTAACAAGAAACAACACAAACACAACACGAGCAACAGCGCAACAACCAACAGTACAATTATAACAGTAACGGACAACCAAACTTACACACACACACAGACAAAATAGACTTTCAAAAGCATGGGAAAAGAGACCGTTGACAATCGCGAGGGACAGAGAACTTTAGCGACGTGGAAAAAGCGACCAGCGAGAACAGAGATGTTCAAAGACATGGGAAAAACGACCGGTAAGAACCGTGAAGGACAGAGAACTTTAACGACGTGGAAAAAGCACATTCATGAAGCTGAGACGTCAGACTTCTCAGTCACATTGCATCACACATACCGCGGCCACGAAGGGCCCTTGAGCGTATAGAGCACAACAGTTGGCGAAACATGTGCGAAGCCATGCAGAGAGCCAGGTTCCAACTACGTGAGGCCTTTGGTTCGAAGGGAGAGCCAACATTGCAAATGGAAGAGGGCTATGTCAGTGGCAGGCCGGAGCGAAGCCATCCAAATGCAGGATGCTTTGCCTACAGTTGCAGTCCTCTGCTCGGTTGAATTGAATAATCTGCCGCGGCAGCGAGTCCATGCAACCAAAACCACGCGGCCTGCAGCGCGTGACGCGTGAAGTTTTCGGAAGGGAGATATATTCCGTTCCATTTTCTTGAAAAGGGACGGGGATTCCATCTCTACTGGAAAGAGGATTCCTGCGGGCGCCTAGCTTTCCTTGTTTGATGAATCTTGTATACGCAATGACCCAAAATCCTTTTGAATGCCGCTCATGTTGCCACCCTGGGTCGGCCCAAAGCGGTTGGCTATCTCTCCGGACTTTGTTCGGCTTCGCTTGGCCGCGCCGCCTTGCCAGGGTCAGGCGCTCGGTGAAGCTCACTCTTTTTTCACACGGGCCTGCTTGGAGCTTCCTGCCTGCACGTGAGAATGGTTCAGAGCGATTTGGTCTGTTTAGAAACTCGAAGTGGGCAACGCGGCCTTTGCGCCGTTGTCTTGGAGTGGGCTTTAGATCGGCGATGTTTTGGGCCTGGGGTCGGCTATCCCTGAGATCCTGGGGCCAAGGCTTCCGCTGTTGTTGAGAGGGGTGCGGGTTGGCTGTTTGGGGAACTTAGGGCGTCACAGAATGCTACCAAAAAAAATATCAGAACCCTTCGGTCAGAACCCAGGCTTGAGCCCTGCCTAGGCTTGGGCCCAAAGGCCTTGCGCCTTGCCCAGTTATTGGTAGGGTGTGTTTGGAAGGGCGCAGAGTGCTGTTGGTTGCGGTTCTATGGTTTAAATGGTTTCAGTCAACAACACTGAATGGGCTGACCACGCACCTCTGGGGTTACATGACGTTTTTATGCGATTTTACACCTTTATCAGCTTTGTACACACGGAATGGTTTTTCACGGCGCCATGTTCCCGATTCTGCCTGCGGCAAGTTAGACCCATGACAGTGGCAGCCGCGCTGGGAGCCCTTCGTCTTAGGCTAGTTGCGGATCGTTATCTCTCCATGTGAGCGTGCCTGCCGCACGGAGCTTTGATGATTGCTCAGCCACAGATATGGTGACAACGTTTGCCAGGACGCCTTGCTCAGTCCCAAAAGCATTGGCCGAATTTGACTTGTCGATGGTTCTGAATTTGTTTGTTGCCAACAGGTTGTCAGGAGGGGTCTTGAGTTTCAGATGGGCGAGTTTTTGCAGGTGTTGCCCATTTCTGGAGAACATGTTTAGGTGATCACCTTTTATTGCATCCTGATCCTTGCATTTCAATGGAGTTTGTCCATTTTCTGGCTGTGAGGGCTACGGCTGACAACCTGTAGGTACCTACGATTCAAGTGAGACCGCAGCGGACATGTTTCATTCAGTGACTTGAGGCAATCATGCAGAAAGGCAACTTCGTGCCAGTTAAGTGTTCTGCCTGACCAGTCAATCATACATTGAACACATTCCCTGTTTTGAGACCGCCCCACATGGGAAAGGCCGCGTCTGCTCAATTAGGCGTTTCATGTAGAGGGTTGTTTGCCTGGAGGGTCACCGACCTCATGCCGATGATGCAATTGCATGGGAAATTAAGCGAGCCCAAGAAACTGTTGGGCCTCCTTAAAGACACGGCAGAATGGCGTCGGAAAAGAACGGCAGAATGGCGTCGGTTTCCTGCAGGCGGCTTTCAGGGTTCAAAGCAGATGGATTTAGTGGAAGGTTTGCGGAAGCTCGCCATTCTTTCTTAAATTAAAGCACTCACCCAAATTGAGAAGTATAAACAGCAGACCAAGAGATCCAAAGTAGAGCAGAGACGGTATCAAAGCTTGTGTCATGAAAGCTCGGAAGGCAGCGGAGCCAAAACGGGAAAAGCACGGACCGCCAGAAGCGCGCAATGGAGTTTGCAGCTTGAACATTTTGGAAAGAGATCGAACGGGAGTAATCGCTGCTCAAGTGGCAACCGCCCAACTTTGGAGCCAGGGCTTCTGCAGTTGTAGGACCCAAACCCAGTTTCGACCCGTTCTGTATTTTGTCTCCGCAGAGTATTGCAGGGGCAGCCGCAGTATTGAAGCTTTATCTGAGGAAGACAGAGTGGGTGAGGCAAGGAAGGTTGTTGTAATCTTATGGCTGAAAGACAGCTGGCGTGTTGCCGTTGCGAGTACCACACGTGCTCATACCTATAGAGGGCTTCAAGGATGCCGTCATCTTGAGTTCAGAACTGCCAGTACTCCCGCCGTCACGTGCCTTGCTTTTTGGAAGCCGTTTATAAGCGCGCCGACTCATTTTGGATCGTTGCAAGTGCGGGGGTGCTTTGCATAGTTGAC